ACATGTGAATGTTGATCATCTAAAATATGTCGAGGCATAAATGCCGGCATGTGTGCGTGAAGACAGAAATATGGAGTCTGGTCACGTTGTTGACGTGTGTTCTGGGACACTAACGTACGGGTAGAGCCGCGCTGGGGGGTGGAGACCTGGTGGGCGTAGCCTTGGTCGACCGGCGGCGCGCTGCGGCTGCGGCTGCGGTGGCGCCGGTCGTCTTGGTTGGCGCCGCTGCCGTCGCGGTAAGACCCGCGGTCGTCGCGGTAAGAGGCGCGGTCGTCGCGGTAGTCGCGGTACCGGTCGCCTGAGCGACTGCGGTAGCGGGAGGCCGACTGACGAAACGGGCTACGGCCGCGTTGGTCGTCGCGATAAGCGCCGTAATCGAGGCTGGCGTAGCCGGAATGGCCGCCTTGTCCCATGCTGGCGTAGCCTGGATGGCCGCTGGGAGCGTAGCCCGGTGGGCCGCTGGATGCGTAACCTTGTTGGCCGCTGGAGGCGTAACCATGTTGGCCGCTTGAGGAGGCGTAACCTTGGCGAACGGTGTTGAGGAAGGATGTTCCGGTTCCTCCACCCCGCCCAACGCCTTTGCCATGGCGTTTGCCACCGCGGTGGCCGCTTGGTCCGCCTTGAGTGCGTCGACCACCCCCGCTTTGGGGTAATTCGCCAGGTGGGATGGCAGCCCATCCTGGCGGAAACACGAAGTCTTGACGCACCGCGTTCTGGTGGAACGCACGGGAGAGCTTCGTGCAGGTGTACGTCGAGTGGCTGCCTGAGGACAGGCAGTAGCCACACCAATCCGCCATGGGGTCTTGGGTGCCCCAGGGTACGGTGGCCGCTTGTCCGTAGCCTTCTCGCTGGCTGGCGCCATCGCAAAAAGGCCGGAAGTGCCAATGCGCTAGACCGCGTTGTCGCGGTCGCGGTTGCCAAGCCATGCACCGGTACAGCCGCGGCGATCGGCGCTGGGCCGAGGTAGTGCGGGTACTTGGGTGACCAAGCCCGGCCAGTGTTGCTAGAGCAACTGGCGCATGTTCTTATATGGGATGCTCGGCTGGCCGCCGCGCCATACGAACAGGTCTGGAGCGATGCACTCGGGTAGTGCCGCCACGAGGGCCGAGGCTCGTGGCTATCGCTGAGGGGTCGCCCTTCCAGCTTCTCCACTGCCGTTCGCATCTTGTCGAAGGCTTGGAGGTTGACGTCCAACGACACGTGAGGCTTGAACTTGAACGTGTGTAACCGTTGGTAAACGGAGATGGCCGTTGCATGTTTTTGTTCGTCGCTGGAAAATTTCCGCCGAAACGACGAAATGATGCAATGCGCACATTCCTCGCGAATCCCGGCAGCGGCATCGCGCTGGGCCATGGCAGCGGCATCGCGCTGGGCCATGGCAGCGGCATCACGCTGGACCGTGGGGGACAAGGAGGCGTAGACCAGCGCGCATGAGCGCGCGATGGCTGTCTTCTCCAGCTTGATT